CCCGAGAAGGCCCACTCCTGCCTCTGGGGCTTTGCACTGGCTGGTCCCCTTCCCAAAGACTCCTCCGGAGAGCTTCCTGGATAGACTCACACTGTCCTCAGGTCTTTCTTTGAAGCCAACTCAGAAGTTCACCTCTCCTCCTGAAATGCTTCCAAGCCCTTCTCTGGGTCACGTTTCTCCTGCAGCCCATACTCTTATCTGACAAGGTCTCTGTTTTCCTTATCTTGTTTGTCTCTCTCCAACTAGAATTTTAGCTCCAGGAGAGCAAGGAGGTTTGTTTGCTCGCTCCCAGGGCTCCGATGCTTTGATTGGCACTTAGTGGGTCCTGATTTTAGTAAATGAATGAACCAGTCCCAGGGACAAATGACTCACTGCCCCGGGAGCCCTGGATCCTGTCTACAGCCACCCTCTCCCCTGCTGCCACCTGTCCCATGGAAGGTTATGAGACCCAGTTTGCCCGCAGAGCAGCATGGGTGGTCAGCACCCCGTGCCAGCAGTTCTCCAAAGCCTTCTGGGGTGAGAGTGTCTGTCTCACTCCTCTTGCACCATCCCTGCCCCTGCCTCCTCCCAGCATCCTTTCCTGAGCCCTGTGGCGGTTTTCAGGAAAGCGTCCATTTATCTTTTCAGGGGAAGCCCAAGCATTGGTTAAGAGTGGAGAAGGTCCCAGCCCTGCCACCGCACTCACACCTCAGATTTCTTCCCTGTCCTCCAGCTGGCTGTCACCAGGTTGTGGCTGACACTGGGGACAAGGACCCCCCTCACTGACACCCTACTGTCCTGGCCCATGTGCCCCCTAGAGGTCAGGAGCGCCTCTCCTCCCAGGGTCTCTGCACGCAAGGCCCGCGACCACCTACACATCCAGATTCCTCAGCAGCTCGCGGGTTCCCGAGGGAGGTCCTCTGTCCAGGCCTCCTCCTCCCGTCTGTAAATGGGACGTCCTCACCTACCGTGCAGTCTGTCGTAGGAACCAAGATGACGTAGTGCTTGGCCCAAGAAGAGCCTAATGAATGTCGGCTTCACTCTCCTCACCCTGAGCTGGGCCCTCGGGTGAGGGTCCTCCCTGCAATCCTCTCTTGGACTCAGTCCCCAGCGAGAGAGGTCTCCATAGCAAGCTTCCAGAGAGTATCTCTCCACCCTGGCCCCGAACTCTGCCAGCCACCACCTGGCACCCCCATCCTTCCTTTCCCCCTGTACAAAGCTGAGAGCATGACTGTCCCCTGGTGTCTGGTCCAGGCCTTGTTCTTCCAGTCATCCCGGAGGTGGGGTGGGGCAGGAGCATGACCCTGCTGTCCCAGAAAGACTGCCAGACAGGCAGACCCCTAGTCCCCTCCTTTGTCTGATTGTTCCAGGTTGGGGCCAAAGAGGGGCGTCCAGCTGTGCTCCTGCTCCAAGACCCAGAGGTCTAGGAGATCTTGGGGTTGGGGGAGGGAGCCCCAACTCCTGGGTCCCTCCTCAGCACCGTCAAACCCGATGGGGCAGAGCCCCTCAATTGCTCTGCCTTACTCTGTCTGGCCTCCTCCAAGAAAGTCTCTGTCTCACGGCTCCCAAGTCTCAGGGCGGTCTCTGTTCAGTTGGTGGAGGGGGAGGTCGCAGGCTGGGACACAGCTTGCCCTCTTCTCCCTGCTGCTCAGAGGCCAGCAGCAGATCAGAAGCCCTCACAACTGTCCTTCCTGAGCAGGGAACTCTCCAGCTCCACTGGCCCTTGGTTTTGCAGGGGCTGCATGTCAGTCTACAGCCTTGAACTCGAGGTGTCCAAATCAATTCCTCCTGGTGTTGGTTTGTAACTGGAAAGGGGTTTCAAAGAGGCTAAAGCCAGAAGCCCCACAAAGCCCTGACTCCCAGGTCCAGGTGGTCCTCAGCTGCATGGCACCCATGCACGGCAGGGAAGGTCCTGAGCCCCAAGGAGTGTCGGCTCCTGTCTCTGGCTGTGGCTGTAAATGCCAGGTCACCAGGGTCTTATAAGGCAGGGCTGGGAAGAGGTGGGCCCTGGAGGGTCCATTTCTTAAGTGTTGGCTTCAAGAAGGCCTGAGCCATGGGGCACAGAGGTCCTGGGAGCCGCCAAAGGGCAATGTTCTCTAAGAGACAAGGTTGCAGCTGGTGACAAGGGCAAACCCGTTTGACCCACAGTGCACACCCTGGAGAGAAATGCATTCTTGAGTTTTCTCAGAACTCACGTCTGGACTTGACCTGACTGTAGTCCTTCTCCCAGCAGCCACACCCCTCCTCGGCTCTGAAAGCAGCTCCAGGCTTCCCACCTCCAGGAAGACCTCCTGGAGTAAGCCTACCCTTCACTGCTTTCCTTCCCCCATGACCTTCTGGGTTCCACTGATGTGGCTTCACAGCTGTCTGCCCCTCACAGCCACCCGACAGAGACCCTGAGAAGGTGCAGCCTCTGGTCACTTTGACAACTTGAGTGTGTCCCTCCTTTGTCACACTTTCTGTCCTGAGGGAGGATGGAGGACACCCCTGGGAGCTGCCTGGGGGGCTGCAGGCCCAGGGGGTTTATCTGGTTGGGCTGAGATCTGCCCTGCGTCCAGGTTCCCTTCCCAACCACCCGAGCTGCGCTGCTTGCCAGCCAGGCCCCACCATGTGCTCCCAAGTGGAAACCTGCCCACGCACACAGCCCGGGGCTGCCGAATGGAAATTCCCAGTCTGGCGCTGGGAGATTCCTACATCTCAGGGCCAAGAGGGGCTTTAAAGACAACCGGTCCAAACGTATCATTAGTGGTCCAGGAAAACGGAGATCTTAGGGCCAGGTGGTGGTGTGGATGTTAAGGTGACTAGACCCACATGGCTGACTGTGTAGTTCAAGACCTGGATCCAGAGGCTTGAAAAACACTCCAGACGTGTGCGTGTGTGCATGCCCAGAATCCTGAGAGGAGAATGGAGGAGAAGGGATTGAGGTGTGGACATCCCCTTGGGGGATGATTTTTCACTTTCTCTTTCTGTCCAGCACATGCCCAAAAGCAAAAAAAAAAAAAAAAAAAAAAAAAAAGTTTCAAAGAAAGAAAAGTGGCAATCTCAGTGGGAATCCCCCTCGCCCCACCTTACACACACCCATTGGGTACTCCTTACGCATCCATAGTCCTCTGGAAGAGGTCTAGCTCGATCCCAGAGACCCTGCATTACAAATGGACTAAGTGGGACAGGGCCGAGTCCGACCCACCCGGCCTCACACTTTACCCACAGCTCACTCTCCTGCTCCAGACCCTCTGCAAGTCCAGGCAGGAGCCCAAGTCCTTTCTGCAGCCTAAAAGGCCCTTCGTGGTCTGGCACCAGTGGCCTCCCTGATCTTGCCTCCACCTTCTCTCTGTCCCAGCCTTTCTGGTCTCCCCGATGGCCCTCCCACCTCGAGAAGGCACACTCCTGCCTCTGGGGCTTTGCACTGGCTGGTCCCCTTCCCAAAGACTCCTCCGGAGAGCTTCCTGGATAGACTCACACTGTCCTCAGGTCTTTCTTTGAAGCCAACTCAGAAGTTCACCTCTCCTCCTGAAATGCTTCCAAGCCCTTCTCTGGGTCACGTTTCTCCTGCAGCC